GAAAGTTTGTGAATATGATTTCTCTAAAATTGTGAAGTATATATTTTTCATTTCTTTACCAGAAATTCCTTAACAGAATTGTTTAGTCTTTCGCATGGTAATCAGTTTTATTATGAATTTACTGTTGATTCTATCATTTTTCTTTTCAGAGAAATGCGTTTGTGCCGAGGGTGGCTGCACAAAGAGCTGCAAGTGCACAAGTTGCAAATGTGCCCCGTGTGAGAAATGTAAGCATGAGGACCTTTTTTTAGTTTGGGGAAAATAAATCAAATATGTATCGATAGGGAGGGATGCATTTTTAAGTATTCTCTCTAATTCTATGTAGAGCGAAAAGGCAATTTAGATGTAGATTTTTTTTTTTTTTGCTTATTTTAGATCCTTTTTCATATCTGTAAAAGATGCATCTTCTACAGATCACCCCAATGCCGACGGGCATGACCTGTACGTACATGCCATGCCCACTGAGTACTTGTTTAAAAGTTTTTACACTTGATGGCTGCACTGGTACTAAATCGCCACTGAGCCAATTACGAGTTCTGCCCGTTTACCTCTTTTCCTTGATTTACGAGACCTTAATCTTATCTTGCTGATACTTTGTTATAAACATTATTTAAGACTTTTATGATAAAAAAGTAACCAATTGATATTTTTAGTATTAGTAAGAAAAATTACCGCCAATTCAAAAGGCCTACTAGTTGACTCCTTTGTAGCTAAGCAGTAGCGGAGCCATCTAATGTGCAGAAATATTGCTCAAATATAAAAAATGAGCACGGCATTTTCCCCATGTTCTTATTTTCCCCGGCGGCACTGGATTAAGAGGGAACTCTCCCTCTCTCCCTCGCATTATAATTGCCTAACTATACATTATATTCTAGGCTCGTCTGGCTGCGCGTGTCCCTCCAAGGAGGCGTGCGCGACGAGATGCACGAAGCCATGCAGCTGTTGCCCATAGACGTGTGATTCGACTGATGCAATCTGCATGACCAAGCAACGGAAATATTTATTCTTCTATCTTGTTTCTCGTATGTTATGACTGAATTATTGGAATGTGTTTGAATAAATGAGAGAATGTGAAAAAGTGGTTTTTAATTCTCATTCTTTTTATGAAATCTATGTTCCTGCCACAAACATTTATGTATGTGAGGGAGAAGGAAAATCGGAGGAAGGGAGCGAGAGGCCTTTGAAATGTGTCGCATTTAAAATCTTGATTTTACTCTGCCATTCCTTTCATTGGTCATTTCTTCACGTATTTATCTCTCGCTCTCTAAGTTACTACAGTATTTTTTCTCTCTTCCTTAAGGTCATCTCAAAGGCCAGATTTATAATGAATTTAAGCCTGACCAATCAATATCTGACTTTTCATACGAGAAATCTAGGAAATCGGAA